CCAATCCCTTTCACTTGCTTGGTTTCACTTTTTAACAAATGCTCTGTCCATGGTTAAAGGATAGATTTAAAAAGCGTAACGCTTTTCACATAAACTTAATGTTTTCTCAGCTGCTATTTGCCAGACTACCCACTCCCGAGCCTCCATCTCCCCCCACCCGACCCCGGGGCTGTGCCAGCCTTGTGGGCCTCCGCACAGCTGAGAGAAAACCCGGACGCTCCCCTGCCTCGGGGCTCCTGAATGCTTGGCCGCATCAGCGAAAAGAAAGCAGCCTAAGAAAAGCAGCCCCGTTGTTTCCCCATGCACGCAAGCCAAGCCTCTAGTCCTCATGCCCCCGATCCTCCTAAGCCGGTCCCCTTATCAAGCTGCCACAGCCTCTTTTCGAGCCAAAGCCAGACCCACCTCCACCATTAATCTCTTTTCCTTTGCCTTTTCCTTTTCCTTTTCACCGGCTTTCCATTTTGGCCCCTTCCTGTGACAGGTCATCTGATTGAACTTGCTTTCTCCTCTCACGTGACCACGCCGGGTCCGCGGTCGACGTGGAGATGGCGTGACGCTTTTGGAGACGCGGAGTTGTACTCCGCCCCGGCTCGCCAACTCCGACTTCCGCCCCCAAAAAACCTAAACAGCGGCTCTGTTTTGGTTTTGAGTCTTCACGCTTTGACTTGCGCTCCTTAGAGGGGCGCCGGTCCGTTGCAGCGGAGAAGCCGCTGTGACTTGCTGCTCCTTGAGCTAAGCTCGGCCGCACTTCTTCCTCCCGCTCTGCGGCGGCGCTTTTTCCGCAGGAGACGCACGGAGGCCAAGGCGGAGCCCGCCGGCTGCGATTTAGCTTGCCTGGCCTTCGCGAGGCAAGACCCGGCTCTTGTATTGCAGCAGCACCCCGGGCCTGTCTGGTTAGGGAGCTCGGTTGGTAGCAAAGCGCCAGGAATCCCAAAGGTGCTTTTTTTTTTTCAGGAGGCAACTGGACTTTGTTTTTTTTTTTCTTTGAAGACGTTTCGCTTCTTATCCAAGAAGCTTCTTCAGCTCTGACAGGAATGGAAAGATTTATACTCCTTGCAGACAGCTGGTCATTTACATCCTTTTAGAGGGCCTTCGAAGCACTTGAGGTTTATCTGTGTCCTCAGGGTCACCTGGTTCCTGTAATCTGCAATTTTTTTCCTCTGGAAATCCATTCCTACTCCCACAGCATTCAAAGGGTGTTCATCCCAAATTGTTTTGGGGCTTTCTTGGTACAGTTATCAGCTGTTGCTGTCCTTATTCCTAATGAGAAATCATGCAATCGTTCTGAGTGGTGGTCTCCTTTTCACGGGGGCTACAGCTCTTTTCCCAAAATGGATTCTGACAATGAGTGAATATTTTTTGGTGTTGTAAAATGCTTTGAGCTATTTCAAAATGGAGAAAGTAAATGATAAAGAATAAGACGGAGTCCTTCGGACAGCAAAAGGAAGAAAAAAAGGAGTGGTTTCTAGCCTTCGATTTTTAGCTGTTGCCAAAGAGCAGCTAGCTTCAGATTTTTGGTAAATTTATTAACTAGAAGGCCAAGGAGAAAGGAAGGAGTTCTTGCGGGATTTTTTACTGGGACTTGAATGGCCTATTAATTAAATGCATTATTATTATTTCTGCCAGGTATCAAATGCATGCACCTGGCTCATTTCAGCTGGGCTTTGTTGAAACAGGGCTTGGTCACCTCCTGTTTGGA